TGAATATATTTTTTGCAAATTATCTTGAACTAAAAAAAAAATTTGCGAATTTCACTACATGCCTTCCCAGCCACTCAGCGCGCACTGTATATGCCAGCGCGGCGCTGGAGCGGCACTGGAGCGCCAGCTGTCACCAACACCAGCGCAWCATTACTGTTAACAATAAATGTTGCTGTATGTGTTGGCGCGCTTGGCCGCTTACCACCAATTGCTGTGCGTCAGTCGCTTTGACGGCGGCGACGACGCGTTCGCGCGATTCGCAACGCATACGCGTTCACAGTTCGCCTTTTGAAGAGTTCATGACTCATTTCATTTTTATGGCGAAAATTATTGTATACATACACACATGCACWCAAAAACGTTGTCATACTTATGTATATATATTTTTTTTTATGTTAGTATGTAGGTATGTATGTGCACTTTTGTATATTTGTGCTGCTGTGTATTTTTGCTTATTTTCATTGTTGGGATTTTTGCACTGCTWTTTTTGCCAGCGTTAGCGCTCATTGTGGATATTGTTGTTGTAATTTGCACATTCATTAGCKCGCACAGACACATGCTTACATAAAATATTTAGAAAAAAAAACTACTTCCAAACCCACTAGATACACGCACACATATTTGTATGGCTGTTTGTAATTGTATGCATGTATATATAATATATTTGTACTTGTTGTTRTGCCACATATGATCGTAAACTACAAGCCTATTTGTCAATTCAGCTTGCAACAGCGCTGCCAACTCACACACACACACACAAATACAAGCATTCTTAAATATATAAACATGCATGTACTTATATGTATATAGAATCTAGTATTTTTGGCTTTTGCAAAYGCAAACTTTGTTTCGCTAATTTATACCTACATATGTAGGTATATATTATCTAYAATGAATTGTTTGCGCTGTATTTCTTCCACAATTATTGCTGTTTTTGTTGCGCGCTTCCATGTTTCCCTTCAAGCTCGACTGCTCCTCATTGGCGTTGCTTCWTTCGCTGTTTGTGCTGTGTGAATCTTCGCTAATTTTTGTTGTTTTTCTTGCTATCTTTTTTTGTGTGCAGAATTCTTGAAGTTTTGAAAGCTTCTCAGCAATAATTTATTCGTGCTAAATTTTCGGCTTTTGGCAGTCAATTTTGTTGTTTAATTTTTTTTTTTTTTACTTTGCTTTAACCTTGAATGTGGCACTATTCTCA